CACCCCCACCACCCTCACGCGCCACCCTAACTTCTCCACTCGCCGACCCAACTTCCCCACGCGCCACCGAATGCTGGTTCCAGCGATTTTTGGCCGCTGATTCGGACACCCTTTGGGCTGAAAATTTCAATATCACGAAGCCCTCTTTCACTCTCCTGCTCCGCCTTCTCACGCCTTCTCTTTCTTCACTCTCTGTTCCTCCCAATTACGCTCTTGCTGCTGCCCTCTTTCGCCTTGCTCACGGTGCTTCCTTTTCAGCTATTTCACGTCGATTTGGTATTGATTCCCCCACCGCGTGTCGGGTTTTTTACACTGTATGCAAAGCTATCAATGAGAATCTTGGGCACCTGTTTGAGCTAAAGAATGATATCAATAGAGTCATTGTGGGTTTTGGGTGGATTTCTTTGCCTAATTGCTGTGGTGTTTTGGGGTGTGAAAAGTTTGAATTTTGTAGTGATTTGATGGATAAAAATGGGTTCTTGATTGTTCAAGCTTTGGTAGATTCTGAAGGTAGATTCTTAGATGTTTCAGCTGGGTGGCCTGGTACAATGAGGCCTGAAAATGTTTTAAAAAAATCTAAACTTTATTTGGGTGTTGAGAAATCAAAGGAGTACTTAAATGGTCCATCTTTTGAGCTAAATGATGAGAATTCAATACCTCAGTACATTCTTGGTGATTCTTGTTTCCCACTTTTACCATGGCTGTTAACGCCTTACAGCGGATCGAACGAGGAAGATGAGATGAGTTCTGAGGAAAAGGCATTTAATTCGGTGCATAGAAAAGGATCGCAGTTGGTGGGGACAGCTTTTGGGAGAGTTAGGGCAAAGTGGAAGATTTTGGCTAAGAAATGGAATGAGCAGTGTGTTGAGGCATTTCCATATATAATTGTGACATGCTGTTTGCTGCACAATTTTCTTATCAAGTGTAGTGAAGCAGTTACAGATGAAACCGTGGAGTATCTGAGGAGTGAAGAGTTTCCGGTGTTTGACGGAGAGGTTGATGAAAGTGGGAAGAAGATTAGGGATGCGCTTGCCTTGCACCTGTTTAGGGTAAGTCAGAGAGAATAAATTCTGGCTTTATGTTGTTATTCTGCTTAGAATCTTTTAGTGGTGTGTATATATTAGTAAGGAATTAAATTGACCTGGATAGAAATTTCGTAGCCTTTTGCCTAGTTTTGACATCTCCGTGCTCCTTGGTTTCATGTAGAATTATATGGAATATTTAAAGTAACATTTAGCTGCTGATTCGGTATTTGAAGTTTTGTGCATGATGATCATTATGTTAAATGGCCAGAAATGAGCTGATAATTGCATGAATTTTAAGGAAGGAAAGCCTTCCCACATACATAAAGGAAAGATAGGAGCATAGCCCAAAAAATTATGTTATGAGCTGTTCAAATCACCAAAGGCGCAAAGTCAGAAAGAGCCAATGTAGGGCTCCTAGTTAAGGGGGTTTGGGGAGTGGGATTTACCATATCATAAAAAGAATAATTTTATGGTAATGATTTCAATGACAGACGAAAGCTATCTCATATTATTCATGTTTAGTAGAATGCCAGTAGAAATGCAACTTAAGATACCTGCTGCTAAGTTGGGTGATTGAAATAAAAGCGACTGTAACCACCAAGAAAAGGTCTCTTGTGAGAATATAAAGCTTAACAAAATGCGGCAGTTGATGATTTTCTCCTTCAGGTTTAAGTCCTCTCCCTTCACAATTCCTTTATTGTGCCACGATGGATGGATTCCTCATTTTCTTTGTTCTCTTGCTTGTTACACATTTGGTTACCCTTGTGGTCCGGCCCTTCTCCGGACCCCGCGCATAGCTGGAGCTTAGTGCACCGGGCTGCCCTGTATTCATTATGTAACTGTCAAAACTTGACTTCTTACTTTTCCCTTCCGAAATTATGATTATGTGGAAATAATGATCTAAAACCTTTGTAAATGAGGTCATGTACAACAAACAAGGTGCTGGATCCCACATCAATCAAGTGCATGGGGTGTAGTATCCAGTGTTATCAAAGGCGAAAAGCGCAAAAAAGCTGTACGGTCCGTTGGGGCTTTAAGCGTAAAGCGCAAATAAAGCGTGGGGTTTAATGAAAAAAGGCGCAATTGGAGAAAAAGTAAAACTATGTATATGTAGTCCAAGACTAATAATTATAATCATGAATAACAAATATATGGACAAAGAAATTGAAAAAACAATTACGATAAAGTGAAATATCAAATGTTTAATGTCGGATTTTTAGGATTAGCAAGGAAAAATATATCTTAGAACTTTGATGCGACACTAAAACGCCCACAAAGCGAGGCGAAGCGCTCAACATGTTTTGAGCTTCGCTTCAGGGCTTAAGCGCGCCTTTGACAACACTGGTAGTATCTTTTATGATTTTGGGCAGTTCTCACCGCTTGAGCTATCTCTCGGGAATATTAGGGGTGGCAATTTGAGCCCATACCCATTTAACCCGCCCATGGTTGAGCCGGTCATTGACCTGCCCATTTGTTGAACTCAGCTCATCTTGACCTAGCCCATCTCAATGCATCTAAAGTTGGGCTAATTTTTAGCCCTAATTGATTCACGAGTAATTTTGCTAAAATATCTTTAAAATAATTCTTTTTTCTTTGATATGTTATATATGACCATAACAAAAGAAAAAAAATCTTATTTGATAATTAAACAGTTCATAAGAAAACAACACACATTAATTAAATCTTGGTAAGAGTTGGGCGGGTTGACCCAGATTTTAGCCCATCTTGACCCAGTCCATCTCAGCCCAAGTAACTTTTGGGCGGGTCATTGGCTAGCCCATTTATTGATTCAACCCATTTTGACCCGCCCAAAACCAGCCCAACCGCCTATTGAGTTAAGCACAAGCTACAAGGTTCATTTTCTTAACGAGGTATTAGAGCCAAAATTTGGTAAGTCCTTTAACAACTGTATTCTCTCTAGATGTTATTCTGGCAAGTCCTTTAACAACTGTATTCTCTCTAGATGTTCTATTGCTTTGGATTCTCTCTCTCTCAACTCAGTCATGAGCCGCATGGGCTTCTTTCTCTCAATTCAGCTTATTGAGTCATTAACTTTGCTGCAGTACTCCTCTACCTGTTGAGCCTACTGTCTGCATCTGTTTCAAGCCTCTTCTTTATCTGTGAGCATATCCTCTCTTTGTGAGCGTGTGTATATACATTCCTGCTCCTCTTCTTAAGACAATCCCACTTCCTCAAATAAAACGTAAGAGAAAAACTGATCTAAAAGAACATAAGAGAGAAATTTAAAAGCAAAAAAAATAGAAAAAGATTCAAATTCACGTGTAAGCTCTAGGACAGAGTTACAAATGTGGGAGGGTATTAGAAAATATATCACCTGTCTCTCATTGGCTGTGAGGATTTCCAAAGGTTCTTACCAAATGAGGGGTAAAGTCCGTGCTCTTATCATTACCAGAACTATAATTCTAGTGCTAGATTTATCCTTGATGTTGGGCCACCCATGTTATGGTAGTTCACACTCCTGATTCGTGTGGAGTATGTTAGAATCCCACATTGGTTAATTGTATAAGCTGTAATATCCGTATGCAGTCTTGCATAATCTCACCTCTTGAACTAACTTTTGGCGTTGATTTAAACCCAAGATCTATTTTCTTAAAACACGGTAAAAGTAAATCTGTTAAAACTGGATGAACTTACTTAGTGCATGTAGATGATATGCAGAACTATAGAACTCAAAATGATGTTTTATAATCCTACTCATCTTATAGACGTATCTTCTCCAAGTACTCATTTGTCTATGTTCAGACCAAATTTTGTTCTCTCACAGCTCCTTCTCATTCGGTAAATTTCTCCTGGAATATTGTGTATAAGCTTCTTGTCGATTTGATGGTTTTGGTCTAAGCTGCTAAGGGGTCGTTTGGTTTGAAGATAAGTTATGTTGGGATTAGTTATACCGGGATTAGTTATCCTGGTATTATTTCTTATTGACTGTTTGGTATGTTGTATTAATTCTGGGATTATCAGTTTTACTGCTTTACCCTGGGATTACTATTCCACCGTCTGACAGGTGTAAGTTATCCCGATACTAGTTTTAATCTTGGGATAACTTATCCGGATTAGTAACCAAACAAGGGACAAAACGGTACTAAATTTTTATCGCAAGATTATTTTTGCTTATCCATCATACTAAACGACCCCTTAGTGTTTGAAAAAGAGGTGGGCGGGTTCATGAATCAGCATATTGAATTACTTGTAGACAATGACCTTCCAATTTTTCCACTCAGCAATTCCTGGTTGCTGCCATTTTGATAGGTAGGTAAGCTTTAATTCAAACAAAAGTAGCACTAAGATTGTGCTGGGAATTACAATTGGATCCTTACAAAAGCACATGTTTCAATTAGGAACCTAGGGAAAAGATAATTCTTGTCGGTACTAATCTGCACGGGAGCTGAAAAAATCTAGAAAACTATCTTTTTATCATGTACATTCAGCATTTTGCAACAAAAGGCTAAGAGAGAGAGAGAAACAGTTGAGCTTCAGCTTGTTTATGTTCTTCCTTTTGCCTTCAAAACAACTGAGATTTCTTTCTTTCCTGATGAGTATGATCCACAATTTGCTTGCTGGTATGGTTGCCAAAAGCTTCTTCTTGCCCTTTCCTTCCTCCTTTCCCTGCCCGGCAGAGGAGTTTGATTGTTCGTGGCACAGTCCACTTGATTGATATGATTAAACAGATTCCAAAGCTGAGACAGTATTCAGCAGTGTAGAAAGAGATGGTTTGCATCTTCAGTTGCCCTGTCGCACAGGTAACATTTGTTGTATCTTCAATTCCCTATTGCTGCCATTGAAACCAGAAACTTCAATGGCAGTTAACTATAGACCGCATTTCCTTTACATGGCGAATAAGACTAAGAGAAAGAAGCAAGCAAAAAATACTGATTTTGTTCAGAAGTTATGCTCCTTTCACCCTGCTAAAGCAATAATCCTCCTCTGAATTATCTCCTCAAATTGGTTCAATTGAAAATGCTTCTGACCAAGTTACTGATTGTGGTAAACTAGTAGTTGAACTTCCATAAATTTTAATATAACCTTGTATGAGCAAGATCACCCTGCTTTTAATAAGAAATGCTTTGATCATTCATGCGGCTTTTGGATGCCGCACTTATTCATTCTCCTGTTTAGGCTGCGTACGATAGACCCTTGTGGTCCGACCCTTCCCCGGACCCCGTGCATAGCGGGAGCTTAGTGCACCGGGCTGCCCTCTTTTATTTATATATTTATTTATATATTTTTGTTATTTTGAAAAGTAATACCACTTTTCAGTATACTTGATGAATGATAGACCAAGGAAAAATGTTACTTTAGTTGCCAGTTTACGTATTGAAGTTTTGGAGTTGGTCATGCGTTTTTTTTTTTTTTTGGATCCATTGCGAAAGAGTGAAAAAGAATTGTACTAGTTTTTACCCGTAGCGGACAACATCATACCATATTAATTCCCATATTAATTGATCTTCTTTATGTCTATGACCTTCATTTGTCAAAAAGTTTGCACACATTTGTGTTCCACTCTCTCCATATGTGTGTGATATTCTCTTTGTTGGCTTCAAGCGAGTATTTGCAATTTTCAATAATAGCCCAAAGAGGGTGTTACTCATGACATACTATCAGAGGCGGAGTCAAAGTGTCAGTTGTGGTTTGGTTGAACTCAGTAGCTTTTGTTCAAATTTTGTATTTGTCTTTAAAAACTCATTGATTATATATAATTTTTTAATGCAGATCCTAGTAACTTAAAAATGATTAGAATCCCAAACGCACAAGTTTGAAATCTTGTCTCCGTTTCTGTATATTGTATGTCATTGTTTTTGATAAGTTTGACAGCAAATAGGCAGTTCGTTTCACTTCTAATTCTTCATGTCCCATTTCTTTGGCTAATTTTAGTTGTCGCTTGATGCAATTGTATTGGGATTTTATACCTTATAAGGAACAAGCTATAATAATTTCTAGTAGTATATCAATATATCTTTTCTACAACACCCCCCCCCCCCCCCCCCCCC